AAAAAGCTCTGTTGAGAAGTGACGTTGTGTGCAAAGAGAAAAAAATGTATAATTAATACAGGAAAATGTGTGCAAAACCTGAAGATGACTCTTCAAATGAAACAGAGTCAATCCCTTGACACCCATTGTACGCATTATTGCTTTTGGAGTCGCTTCTGAAAATAGAGCCGAATTCAGTTGATAGAAGTTGAAATTCATGTTCAAGAGAACTCTTACCAGTAAAGGGTCTTCTATAAAACCAAAAATAGACATGCTATTCATCTTGCTTCCTAGTTAAATTAATGATGCAGACAAAGAACAACAGGCAAAAACAATGAAATGGTTTGTATCCAGCCTCCATGCTGGAATGAAGTAAATGAAATTGGTTGTAACACAAAGCTCGATGGATTAATTTGTTAAAAAACTGGGTGATTCCTTATGCCCAGAATTAATCAACCTCACTAGATTGGTAGTCTTTTCCAAGTACTACATTGTTATCAACCCGCATCACCATACACAAAGACTAAAACTAAACTCACAAAGTTTAACAAGGTTGTAATTAATAATCAAGTCTGCACGGATTTAATTCTACTCGGTAGACTGAAACATTTTATTTTTTTCAAACAAAATGGCAAGCAATGAAGCATATAAAAACTTCATGTTCTTCCTAATCCGCAATTCATAACCTTCCAAGTTATACACAGTTTGAATAATTTAAAGTTCCAAACCAGTCAAACAAGGGCACAGGTAGTAGAAGCATTCCTTCACTCCTCAACATCAACGAAGAAGAAAAAGAAAGAAAAAGAGAAGAACAACATAAGAGAGATAAGAAAAGAAAGAACCTTTACCCACATAATCAACCAATAATTTCAAAAAGGTAAACACTAATGTCATATGGGGTTAAGAACACAGAAATTATAATTCAAATGAAAAGGGAAAAGTAAAATAACAAAAAGATGGGGAAAGTGAACACTAACTGCCGGCGCCACCAAGCTGGGTAACAGCGTCGACAAACCGCTCATGGAGGTCAGCCGTCCACCGGAGTCGGGGTTTCGGGTCGGATGTGAGCACCAAACACGGGTCCCCACCAACCCGTTGACCGTACCCTCCGCCTGCCGGGCGCCGTCTACTTTCCTGACTCAAAATGGCCTCACGGGGTTGGATCAATCTCGGGAACATCTGGCGATGGCCTAACGGTCCGGGCAGGGCCGGGCGGTGCGTAAACTGGTGGTTGGTTAAAGGGAAAGAGAAGCCTGCTTTGGGACTCGTAGAGCCAAAGAGATCTGACCTTCCTTTGAACTTTTTTCCACAGCTGCCTTGACAATAACACGGGCAATGAGTGGAGTTTTACTATCCTTGTCGTAGCTGGTATTGCTTGTTTACTGCCATTGAAATTGAGTTTGCAGTGAATTTAGAGAAAACGACGGGTGTTGGGAGGAGATTTGACCCGGGGCCCACCGTAACCGCGCACTTGGTTAACTTTATTTACTGTGGTTAAACGATGGTGAAAACGGGTTACCATGAAAGATAAAAGGGTGAAACAGGGAATAGGCAAAATTTTTACAGTGAAAAGACAGGGGCAGACTGGAGCTGGCAGGAAAGTCGCTGTACGCACCAATTGTTTTTTGGGGGGTTTACATCATTTTCGTCTTTTTCACTGCTATGAAATTAGAGATTAGAAAAATAAGTGGGACCAAGTTTGATTGTAAACAACCTACATATATATCATTATCCTCAACCCAACTTAACATAATATTTATTTTATTTATATTTATTAAATACTATCTATATTAGATTTTTTAGTATTATTTTAGTTGTGAAATTAAGAAAAATAAAAAAAATAATAAAANCGACCCAAGGTCACAATGTGACCTGGGTCGCCCAAAATTCTGCCACTTTCATTTTCTTTTTTATTTTATATTTTTTTTTTTTTGTCTTTTAGCTGGTGACCCAATAGGTTGGATCACCAATAAGAATAGTCTTAAAAGTTGGATTGTGCAGGTGGATGAAAGAGAAATAATTTTTTATTATTGGGTTGAGTTGGGTTGAGTTGTGAATAAATATAGTCTTATAGACCCGAGAAAATGAAATGGACAAACTGATTATATGAGGTATTAGTTTGTCTCCTAGGAAGACTTTTTTTTTGTTGTATCAGTTTATGTTCAAAGTTCTTTTTCCTAAAAAAAAACCATAGATTTCATAAAATAAAACACCTAACCTATATATCTATATAATAAGAATAATTATTTATTAAAAATAGTAGCAAAAAATTTTGCGAGCAATTAATAGATATATTTTTTTGAAAACTTTTTGAATATATGTATTAATTGATTTCATATACACGTTTCACATAAATTCAAATCAGATATGATCAAAAATATTATTTTCTTAAATAATTTTATTAATATCTGCAATAGTTTCATTGATATCCATTATAATAAATTATTGATTTTCTGTGATCCATGTTGATAATATTTTTGTCAAGATAAATATTACAACATATTTTAACTTCTAACCACAATATTAACTTTTCTCACAAATATTCACTTTTTATCCAAAAACATTTATAGAAAATCGTAACAGATTAGGTAGAATTTTTCTTCTAATTAATCAGGCGAAATCAAGTTGGTCAATTAATCGTTGCCAATATAATTTTTTTCTTAAGCTTTATTTCGTTATATATAAAAATAATTATTCTTAAAAATAATATAATTTATCATTTAAAAGATAATGACCAGATACATTAAATAATTTTACTAATGGAAAAATTTTTAATTGAAATATATTAATTTTTCTTTAGAATTTATTTATATATTATTGGCAACCATGATTTTTTTATCATTTTTCTTTTATTTTTATTCTTTCTATAATGAAATTCTTGTAAAATATATTTTCATTGCAGTGTATATTAAATAAACTATAATTCCTTATAATGAAAATTAGAAAAATCTTGATTATAGAAGGGATTGAGTTTTTGGCATTTGCTAAATCAAAGTTTTTTAATTAGTATACAAAATTAAATTTTAAAAAAACATTTGTATATTTTGTAACATATTTATTTACTATTTAATTTTAAATTTATTTACATATTTTAAATTTATTATATAAATAAATAATACTAGCGTGCATAAATATATTTCATTACATAAAATAAAAAGAAAAAAAAGACGTACAACTTCTATAACTTATATAAATAATAATGACATATGACAATAGAGTTTATAATAAAATAATAATTAAGTATTATATGGTGAACAAAAATAAGTAAAACTATTATTTTCTCTTATATACAATTTTTTGTGTGGAAAATTGTCCATATACCTCGAGTAGATAATAATCGAGCGTACTTGTTGTTCAAGATAGCTAGGTCACTGGTGAACTGCAGATTGCACTCAATCTATTGCAGATGGATAGAAGCTCGTTGGAGCTGGTAATGGTTCTATTGGACCAAAAAAGATTGGAAAACGACATTTATTTGGTTGTTGGCCAATGGGGAGAAACTGATGGATAAGCAGCTTGCGGAGAAGGTACTTTGCCAAGTTCCAAAATTCTTCTTACACAATAATCAACTCTACAAAAGACCATATGTTGGACCACACTTGAAGTGCATTTTCAAAGGGAATAGAGAATAGGTGCTCTAAGAAAATACACGAAGGATGGTTGTCGTCATCATATAATTGTAGGAGCATTATTTGTAAAGGCGATCAAGATATTTCTGGCCAACGATGAGAGCTGATGTAGTGGAATTGGTTAAGGCTTGTCAAAAGTATGACGTGGTAACCCCTCGACATATCGAGGAGATGATACCGATGAACACACCCATTTCTTTTTGCACAATGGGGGTATATAAAAGTCCTTTACCTTAAGGGATAGGGTAGCGTAAGTGGCTCTAGGTGGTCGTTGTTTATTTTAGCGAATGAGTTGAGGCAGAAGCTTTGGCTAGTATAACATATAAAATGGTCATCAATTTTCTATTTTCCAATATATGTTGTAAGTATGACATACCTCAAAACTTGAAATCAGATAATGGGACTCAACTCAATGGTGCTAAGATTAGGTCACGGTGCCATGATATGCATTCAACAAAAGATTGTTGTGATCTCACACTCACAAGCAAATGGACAGACCAATGTTGTTAATCGAATCTTAATGTAAGATATTAAGTAGAGGCTTGAGAAAGTGTCAGGTGCTTGGGTTGATGAGCTCGACTTGGTGCTATGGGAATAAGGACGTTGCAAAGTACGACTGGGGAAACTCATTTTACCTTGTTATACGGCATAGAGACAGTTATACAGTAGAGTTGAGACCCAGCTCGTTCAGGGTCGAGAGGTTTGATGAGCAAGAGAAACATGAATTCCAATGAGAGGCCTTAGAAACAATTTACGAGCTTTGTGACACGCTAAGGTTACGAGTAGCTATTTACAAGCAACAAACGAAGGTTGTGTATGATAAAAAGGTTCGTTGGCAAAAGTTTCAAGTTCGCGACCTTGTTTCAGGACAGGCTGATGCACTCGGACGATGGGGAAGATGGATCCGACCTGGTTCGTCCTTTCAAGATCACGAGGATCTCAAGAGCCTACGAGCTGCAGGATGAACATTGGAAGATGCTTAAGTGAGAATGAAACGTTGTCCATTGGAGGCTGAAAGTCTTCTTGGTCTCGGCGTATCCCTAATAACGACAGCTGCAGAAAGGTGTCGTCTGACATTCAAACATCGGACGCGTTTAATGTCAAGCAGTTGCTACCTTTCTATGGTGATAACTCTAGTAGAGACGAGATTGCATCGGATTCGAGGGAGAATCCTTTTCATGAAGGGGAGAATGATGGAGACGAGATTGCGTTGGCTTCTCTGGATAGACATGATCGTTTGACATCATTAGTTTAATTATTTATATTTTTTTTATTTTATTGTTATTTAAGTTATTTTATTACATTATCCATTTACTTAGTAGAGAAGTTATTTAATTAGAGATTTCTTAGTAGTACTATGTTTATGGTAAGTATGTTTCTTTGAAATCTATTTAAGACCCTCATTTTATTGTTTGAAAGAAATTTGAGTTTTGATTGGAATTAAATATATTGTGAGTTTTCTCTTCATTCTCTAAATCGTTTACGATTTTGCTATGTCACTTTTTGATATTGAAAGTTTTATCTTTATTTTTTCAATCGTTTACGTTTTTGCTACGTCACTTTTTTATCTCAAGTGTTACTTTTGATCTACTTGTCCCGCTTTGATTAATAGTATTACTTTTTAAGCTTAAATAGACAACATTTAATATCTCTATCTAATCGGCTTAAAAAGTCGTTTGAAATAACACATTTAATATTTCTATCTCAAATGTCACACAAATTAAGTACTAGTTTAAATAACAATTTCATTCAACGAAAAAGGTGGGAACTCCTTTAGAGCATCTCCAATGGCATCATGTCTATTTTGATATGTATGTTGTGGAGAAAAGAAATAAAAATATTTTCTCTGCAGTGGTTAATGTCAATTGTAGAATAAATTGACACGTGTAATATAATAATTGGTTGATGGAGAGATAAATATAAAATAAATAGTATAATATAGCATAGAAGATATCTAGAAGTCTTTCTAGATCTAGAAAGACTTCTAGAAATTTTAAATGCCACATTGAATTATTGGTGCTACGTGGCAATGAAATGGAGCAATGCACAATCCATTGGAGATGCTCTTACCTTTCTGAATTTTGACCATAGGCCCCGCTTTCTCCTTTCCTGAATGGCTGTAGTCGTTTCACGTCGCCGTAAGCATGTTTAATCAGTCTCTCTCTACATCAATTATGCACATAAAAATCAGAACCTTCATCGTTTTGATTGCTTTATTTACGCATTTGTTTCCATAAAAAGAATAAATAAATAAATAAATAATTTTTCTTTTGCATAGTACATCGAATGCATTTGGAATTGAGCTATACTATCCATAAATTGCCCTTTCCGAATTTGATCGGAGACGTGGAGATCTCGCCCTGATCTCGCTGATCGGCCCAGATTAATGTACGATTTTGTTTGGACAAGCAATTTCTCTCTATCTGAATAAATAACTGCGAGTGGATTTTAGAGGTTCCATTGTGGTTTGTGTAGTTACCCGGTTTTAATGTTGGCAAGAGTTCACTGGGTGCGGATTGGAGCTTACATATGTTGCTTCTTTAGTTTATACACACATATATATATCTTTATTCTGATGGACTTTGGTTTATTTTAGGTGTGGAGGACCATTTCTAGAGTGGCGTAATTGATTGTCATTTTTAATTATTAGCATGCGTGTGATGGTTTTGCTGGCCGAAATTTTTGCTTTTGTCTTAATGCTGGTGAAAAGAAAACCCATGACTTACACTTCAACCCCCCCTTTTTTTCTGTTACTACGGACATCTTGTTGCTCTGTTTAACTATGGGATTTTGCCTGTCTTTGGTCACTGTACATGCTTCTCTAATTAAGCAATTACTGTTCCTGCGGCTAACTAGGTGAAGTTAGCTACCGGTAGATGTTGTATCAAGAGGAAGAAATGGATTATGCAGCTGCTGATTATGAGATGGGTGAAGTAGAAGATGATTTGTATGATGGTGGTCGAATAATGGGAGACACAGAATCGGACGAGGAGGATGACGATGATCATGACAGTTTGGTGAGTTCAATCTGCACTCACTAGTTTTGCAGGCGTGGTCTTTGATGTCCATAAT